AGGAGGAAAGACAACCCCATCAATTGTTCTCTGCAGATAAAGGCACTGTTTTTGCAGATTTCCCCCAGATCTGGGCCAGCTTTGCTAATGACCTGCCCACCCACCTGGGGCCCTCCCCAAGGTGGTCCACAGTAAGTGCCCCACACCTTCGGGAGCCCAAATGCTTGACGGTGGGCAGCCCTGAGGTGGCCTTTTGTTTTCGTTTAGCTGTGTGCTTTCAAGAACATGCAATCTGGAAGAATTCGTCGCTTATTTTTCTAGAGGAGCCGGGGGGTGAATAACTACACTCTTTTATGACACATTTTTTTTCTCCCTCGCGAAAGACACATCTGACGACGATTCGTGAATCTGCAGCAGTTTTCTGCGGAGAAAACACGAGCTCAACATCCCAGAGCTATCAGGGGTTCTCTTGCATGCAGCATTAAAGCAGTTAATGCAAAAGCCGAATTCAAGTTTTTGGGATTGTGGCTTATTCTTTTTTCTTTAATGTAAGGCCACCAGCCATTAGAGCACACACAAAAGCTACGACAGTGCCATTTTTTCATAGGCACACGTTTAAATGAGATATGAAGTAATTGGGGCCTAAGCAACGTGTTGGGTTCGAACTCCAAATGGCACGTCTAGGTCGATAAGGCAGGGCATTTTATTTGGAAATGGTGCCTAAGTGTTCTCCTCATGGGTCCCGCTATTGTCCTAGAAGAGAATACAGTGTCCGCTCATTGGCATTTTAGGGACTGGAAGGTGCTGTGGAATCCTGACTCGGGCATGCCAACTCAAAATGGCATTCCCCCACCCTTGAGGGCCGGGGAGATGTTTTCAATCAGGAAGGTAGGGTGGGGCGGCCTCTGGCGGGTTTCATGTTCAAGTCCCCCGGGAACCCCAACCCCAGAAGGCTCAGTCAACTTCCCACTCCCAGAATGCCCTGGAAGAACTTCTTTGCTTCCGTTTCTTTCTTTTTTTTCTTTTTTCTTTCTTTCTTTTTTTTTTTTTTAACAATTTGGCGCTCGCCCGCCACGACCTACATTCTCCCGCGAGGAGCTCCGAGCTGAGGAATAACAAGGGAGTTTAAACCACACAACACTTCGGCAGCCCGCAGTCTGCGCTTTGCTGCGCTCCGCGGGGGTTCGCATCCGGCCGCCATGTTCACGACTCGAGAGCCGCCCCCAAACCAACCCCCTTTCCCACATCTCTCGCTTCTCCTCCCTCCCAGCTCAGCGGAGGCCGCCGCGGCACTGCAAAGCGGCTTTCAACTCTTCCCCCCGCCACCCCCTCGCCGCAAAAGCCGACTCGACGGCTGCGGGCTGTGCGCCTGCGCGCGGCGCGGGAAGGGGAGCCGGGTGGCCCCCAGCCGCGGCTTGAAAAGGCCGGAGCGCTGGGGAGCGGGGGAGGGGTCGGGGCCCGAGCCGGGCCTTCTCTTTCCTCCCAGCGGGTCCCCGCTGCGGCCCCGGCCCCGGTCTCACTAGTGCGCGCTAAAAACCCACTTCAAAGTCTGTTCCCCGCGCCGAAGGAGCCCCCTCGTGTGGGCCGCCAACCAGGCTCCGGGCCTCACCACTCCTTCCAATCCCTAGCAGGGCGAAGAGACCGGAGGGCCGAGCGAAAGGACACTCGCTTAAGAGCCCCGAGAGCCAGGAGCTGCCTTTGGGTGTATGAGTACCTCCCTCCCTCGCCGCACTCCGCCCCACCCCCGGCCCCCGCCCCCACCTTAAGAAAATGAATGGAACACAAAGTTTGCGGCCAGCGCTACGCTGTGGCCTTCGGAGCTCACCATTGTTTGGGCTCGTATTGACCCCAGGTCCGGATTAGGCAGCGGCTGATTCCTGCTTTACAGCCCCGCCAGCCTAATGAGGCCGGGAGGCGATGGGGCGCGAAGTGTCCTCGGAGCCTGGGCGACCGCCGGCTTACGGCCGCCAAGGGCCCTGTAGGTGGAGGTCAAAGGGTCAGCGGGCCGAGACCGCAAGAGAATTGACCCTAGGAAATGAGTTCCCTTCCCCCCGGCCCGAGTTTCGATAGGGACTTGCAAGAACTTGGTGTGTGCATAGAGAACCTGGGCGTCCCGAGGGGCCTGAAGACCGCGGAACGGGAGCACTGACTTCGGAAACGCCTGGTCTGGTCCTGGGGCAAGACTCAACTAGACTTGGGGGTCAGACAGCCCGAGACAAACACAGCCTAGCTGCCAAGCGGAGAAACGCTCTTTGGGGAATGGACACGCCGGTGCCGATTCTTTCAGAAACTTAAGTGGAAAGAGGCCCTTAGACATTTTTCGTTTGTTTGAAGGGTTTTATAGGAAGGAGAGGGAGCCAGCGGGGAAGAGGCAAGGAGACAGCAGGCGGCGAGAAGGGGGCAGCGGCAAGGAAGTCCTGAACACAACTTTCCTGGGAGGCTTTGTGAGCAGAGGCGGTGCCTGCTGGCTCTCCCACCTTCGCAGTAGCTAAGGCTGACTGCCCTGTTTAGGTTGGACCCTGATCTTTAACCTTCTAAACTGGACTAAGGCCCGACTTCTGTCTGCGTGGAAATAGACACCTCCCCCTTCCCCACCCAACAGTGGAAATCTTCAGCTAAATCACCTATTTTGGAAAAGATAATGGACTTTTAAAAGATAAAGGTCTTACCAGGTGCAAGAAGGAAAAGAACACGTAGATCACTAAGAGCCCAGCTGACCCATCTTTAGGGTTGCAAGTTTTGTTTGTTGGGGGGGTGGAGGTGGGGTTGCTTATTCTTTAAGGTATTTTCTGAAAATTCAAGAATGTAAAATGTGCAGTCCCAGAGTCAGATTATAGGAAGAAAATCTGTGAAAAGTTTTTTACTAAAATAAGCTTTTCTTTGCAACAAAAGACAAGGGCAGGACATAAACTATTTGAGAAATATGATGCTATACCAAAATTAAAGGAAATAATGTAGAGGGGCAAAACTTTTACATCATCTTAATATTGGTTATCATCATTGTTAATTGGCACTTTCCCCTCATAGGATACACTGCTTTACTGTAAAGTTTTATGGTAAAGCAATTTCAAGCCTATCAAGGAAATATGAAACTCTTCTTTATGTGTCCTAAGGAGATACTTAATATATGTAATGGGGAAAGGAGAAACGAGTTTCTGATAATCTTGCAACCAACCCATCACTCTACTCCCATTTAAGGTTACGTTAAGTTGGGGCGGAAAGGGAATTCATGTAGAAAACAGTCAACTGTTGAAATTCCATGAATACTTCAGAAGAAAAATACTATTTAGACTTCAGTTGAAACACATTTAGAGCCAATCTTATGAATATACACGTTCTGAAAACTTGCTGAGCATTTAAAACACTCTGGTTTGAAATGAAGGAAAAATCCTAAAACAAGAATTTGGTCCAGCACACTCAATGTCAAGGTCAAGACTGGAATGTCTGGGGTAGGAATGGTAGACTGACCAGGTTACCTGCTCATCACCTGTGAAATCATCCCAATCTCTGTTCATGGCATTCGGGCCCTTGCCTTGTCTACTAGTGGAGGAAAGTGCAAAACCCCCCCCATTCTCCACAAACAAAAAATTGCATGCAAACAATTTGCAATTAGAAGCTGTCAGTAATTAATTGTCTGATGACAAAGATCAGTAGATAACTTAAAATGGGCTGCTTCAACTGTATCCAGGGATTCAAAATTTCTTTTAATCATCAGTTCTCTGAGCATTTCAATTTAAAGTTGATTTATTTAAACATGAAAAAAAAATCAGGCACCAAATACAAAAATGTTATAACATAAATAAGATGTGCCAAGACTTTATTTCTTCAAGAATAACAATAAACAAAATTCTAGAATGCAAAATGATTACGTATAATACCAAATTGACTGCCACCAAAAAACCTAGAGCATTGCCCCTTCAAGAGGAGGTACTTAAGCCTATTCATTACATTTCTAAATTCTTTACAATTCCTTATCTCCACCATTCTATTTACTGATTTGCAAGCTGGTTATTCATGCAGAGATTGGGCTCTCAATATTAAACAGCACCCTAAATTAGTAAAAAAAAAAGTCTCTCAATACTCTACTCACTCCAACCCCCCAAAAAGTAATATTTCTTTGCATATAACAGCTGTAAAAGAACTTTGTCCAAATGAGCTGCTTCGCTGAAGATTAAATGGATTGTTAATATTTTATCACAAAGCAAACAACCATTTTTTCATTGTTACTGATTTTAATGGAAACAATGTTCTTAACATCTTTGCCTACAAACCATGAACTTTAAAAATACATATTTTGCAAATGTTTTTTTCTTTCCATAATATCATTTCAGAACCGCTGCAGTTATTACACTGCTATAAAAATGTTATGAATAATTGTGAAAATTATGAACTATATACAGCAAAACAAATCAGCCTTTGCCTTCCAAAATTGTAAATGGATGATGATTTTTTTAAGAAGCACTTTAACCATAAGTAAGCACGGCTCAACTGGCCTTACTCATCACCACTGTTTCAGACACACACTTACTTTTGAAAATATATAGGTAACTAGATAGATTTGATAGGCAGATTAGGTAAGTCATAGATACAAACATATATAGGTATATGGGTGATCTCAATAGAACAGATAGACATGCATCTTGCTGCAATGTTCACTTTTATGTAAGGTAATAAAAAACTAAGGGACATAAAACTCATTAGGTTACCTTATGTTTATATATGTAGGGCAGGGGTGATTAAACCCAGCTTCTCAGTCTTTTAAGTACAAGATTGAGATGTCATGGCCACTAACTGAATTAATCAGTAATATTTGATTTGCATGCCGAAAATCCAGGACAAACACTTTTAAACTTGCAGTTAAACAACCATCTGAGCTAAAGAAAGGAGGTTCTTCCCAGATGGAAACTGACACTGTAAGGAATCTATACTGCAATAGAAAAATAATTTAACAATTAAGAAAGGGAGCTGAGTTATAAATACCAACAAACAAGATTCATTTGCTCACGTCTCCTCTTTGTATGAGGCTGTTACAAAACAAGCGAAAGGAGTCAGTGGTTCAAAAAATTGTAAATTTTGTTGTTCTTTCAAAACAATAAAATTTAATGCTAAAGCAGTTATAATCAAAAGCTGTACAGAATTTGTTAGAAAACATTTATCCATAAATATTGTTCAGTTCCCGGCACTTGTAGCAATAATTAAATTACAACGATAAATATGGCATCAATGGATATGTATTTACAAAAAAGTTATTACAAAGGCAACTGTATACTAAACGTCACAATCTGTGTAGAGTAACATCACACCCTCAGCCTGAAAAAATACTGAACAACAGTTTCGACCCCATTAGACAAAAATACATTCACAAAGAGTAATGCTTTGAGGAAAAGTTCAAGACATAACAGGACTTTGGCACGGTTTAAGACTGTGAGAGTTTAAACAATCACCACTAAGGCGAAGACTTTCAATCAGTTTAACATCACCACCACCAAGCCTTCTATAACTTCCTCTCAAGAAACAGGACAAGTGTTAAAATGAACTGGAGGAGTTTAGGTTTGGGGTGTGCAGAGAGCAAGAGAAAGGGGAGAAAATAGCAGTGAAAAATATATATATATTGAAATCCTTCGAATGCCAAAACAGATTTCCTAATCCTGAGAAAAGGGCATGGCTACTTTTGGATCTTACCCAGAAACCTTCCTGGACAATTACAATGAACAAGATGTAGCCCTATACATGGCCTCTTGCCTTACAACTCCATTTCCATCTGATTGGTCTCAGTTTTTTAAAAAATGCATTTGGTCCGTTCTATGGTTAACAGGGTTTGTGTTTGTCCTCAGACGTACCATTCGTTAAAATTGGGAGGAAGTCCAGGGTTGTGGCTGGTGCTAGTTTGAACTGCAGAAGGGGTTTTAGTGGTATCTTTACTGTTTGCAGAAGCTATAGCGGGTGGAGTGGAAGATTCATAGCCTGAACTGGCAGCAGGGGAGGAATCTGACCCTTGAGATTCATGAACCTAAAATTAACATGTATATATTATAATGAATATAATTCCAACTGGCATTGTGCAAGCAAAAACAAGAGCAGAATTTGAGCACTGTAAGAGCAAGACCGCCCAGTGACCCACTTAAAAGAGAAACGCTGGGGTTTTTTGTTTTGTTTTTAATTTCCATATTACCAATGTCTAGAAAACCCGGAGATGTTCGCCAACAAAACAGTTTCAGTCCTAGTATTGGCATTATGGAAAAGGAGTAGAGCACTCTCTTTTATTCATGCCCCTTCAAAAGATGCTTTCTCCACGGATTGAGTGGGCTAAGCACTTAGTCTTTTAGGGCCCTATAAAATACTTCGGGCCCAGGTTTCACCAAGCCCGTTTTGGCTTGGGAAAGCAGGTACAGAGAAAGGTGGCACAGGCACCCTAGGCGCTGCGAGGTCACAGACAAACGCGTGGGAATCAGACCGCGCTCCTCGGCCCTATTGTTTTATCCGAAGCCGAAGAGCAAATGAACCACCCACCCCCGGATTCCGCGCGGGCACTCTTGGTTCCCACCGCAGGATGAGAAGGGAAGAGGCGGCCGCTGCAACCTCAAGCCCTGGCGAGCTCGGTTAGAGCTTCCCAGTAAACAAACGATTGTTCCCTGCGCTCCCTCCTCCTCCTCCTCCTCCTTCCCACAGTGCTCTTCCCCGTCCCCCACCTGGTCCCCAAAATGGGTTCAAGGTGTCACCTCTGGAGCAAATCGGATTTAACTTGGAAGATATAGGGTTGGCAGCGCGGGCGCTTCCGTTCCGCAGCCCAATGTCAGGCCGAGTGTTTATAAACCGCCGACCACTAATAAAGAGGTAATTACCTTCATGTGCTTGCGCAGGGAGCTCGGATGCGTGTAGGACTTGTCGCACACTTTGCAGATATAGGGTTTGTCGGAGGTGTGCACGTGCATGTGCTTCTTGCGGTCGCTGCTGTTGGCAAAGCGTCTGTCACAGCCTTCAAATTCACATTTGAAAGGTTTCTCACCTGCAAAAGGCAAAAACGCAAAAAGGGGGGAAATATGGTCAGGGCCGGGAGCTTCTTAGAGCCGAGCAGCGGGAGACGGAGCGCCCGGCGATCTTCCCGGAGAGGGAGCGCCGACTGGGGGCGGCTGTGGCATCTTTTTCCCTGGAGAAAAATGGAGAGCGCTGGTTGAGCCTGCTGGGTTGGGGAGTGGTGGGCGGGGGTGGGGCAGGGCCAGCCCAGAACCTGCCAGTCCCTTTGTTCTCGCGCAGGATGGGAAAGCCCCTGGCTCCTCCAAAGTTTCCCCTAAGTTGTGGTTCCACACCACCCCTCCCAGGGCTCCCAACGCGCGGCCACGTTCCACCGCTACCTCGGCGACGTAAGCCACCAAACCCTGGCCGGACAATGGATCGCGGACGGGATAATCCCGTGCAGTTCCTTCTTTGTACCTTTTAATTTGCCTCTTTCAAATGCAACAGTTTTTCTAAGCCCAGTATTAAAAAGCTCGTACTTAACGTTCGAAAAGAGAAAACTATATAAATCCAGGGCCTCCAGACAGTTTTACAAGATGTTCTGAACAAGCCACGAAACTGTGGTGCCTTTTCTACTTTAGCTTTTCTCCGGGAGGACTGAAAATGGAACTCCAAATAAAAATAGTTTGACAAAAGTATCAGTCATTTAATTAGGAGATGTGCCAATCACGGGTAAAAAAGGGTAAAAAAGAGCGGAAGTAACCGAAAGTTAGCTTGCATTAGCATTTGTATGGGTGCCTTTCCCGAATGTGTGCCGAAAGCTAAGTCGCTTGTAAGCAATACGCTCTCAACACATTCGGAGTCCCTTCATAGTAACCCAGAAAGGGAGACAAAAAGAGGCGGCGCCAGTTTGTTCCAGGGCGCGAGAAGGTTCCAATTAGTTCCTCAGACCGCAGAGCCGTCTGCCCGGGAAGTTAGAAGTGCGAAAAAGCGCCGCGGGACCCGGAGGGCGTGAGATGGAGGGACACTGACAGCGTTTCTGTTCCGAACGGCCCTGGCGGGGCGCCGCCCCTCTTTGGCAACCACCCCTCTCCCTCGCACTGAAAGTCGGCTCCGGGGCGCGGTGAATCCCGCGCTCGCCTGCCTCTCCCCCCTTACCTGTGTGGGTCCTCTTGTGGATCTTGAGATTCTCAGAGCGGGCAAAGATCTTCCCGCAGCCCGGGAAGGGACATGGGAAGGGCTTCTCGCCCGTGTGCACGCGAATGTGGTTGACCAGTTTGTACTTCGCCTTGAAGGACTTGCCCTCGCGGGGGCACTCCTCCCAGTAGCAGACGTGGTTGTTCTGCTCCGGGCCCCCCACATGCTCCATGGTGACATGTGTCACCAGCTCATGCATGGAACTGAAGGTCCGGTCGCAGCTCTTCTTGGGCCGACTCAGCTGAGCTTCGTCGATCCACTTACACGACAGCTCCTGTTTGATGGGCTGCCGCATATAACGGAAGAAGGCACCAGGCCCGTGGTGGGCCGCCACGTTCACTCCCATGTTCATGTTCATGGGGCTGTAGTTAGGGAACTGCGCGCCCGCCGTGTAGGGGTCCGTGCGGGGGCTGGCCACCGGGCGGTACGGGTCCGCACGGCCAAACAGCTCCCCGCGCAGCCCCAGGTGGACCTGGTTGTTGTCCACGTGCCCTGTGGGCGACGGGTGCCCAGCGCCCTGCTCATGCAGCCCAGGGAAGATCAGGTAGCTAGGGGGCTCGGGAATGCCAGGTGGAGCGTGCAGGCTGCTCGCCGAGCCGGCGAAGAGCCCGTGCTGCCCGCCACCCGAGGCCGCCTCGCCAAACCCGGAGCCGCGCTGGCGGAACAGAAAGTCGCGCGTGGAGTTGAAAGCAGCGGAGGCGGCACCGCCATAGCTGGGCACCTGGCTGCCGTGGTGATGGTGGTGATGGTGGTGGTGGTGGTGGCTCAAGGCATTGGCGTAACCCGAACCCTGTGGCGTGAACGCCGAGCTCTGGCCAGAAGATAGATCGTGAGCTGTGGCGGGGCTCAGCTTGAAGGCAGCGGCGGCGGCGGCGGCGGCGGCGGCAGCGTGGGGCGAGTCCCCGAAGGGATTCAACCCCATGCCCGCCGGCTCGCGGTTGGGCATCTCGTGATGGCGCGGCGCGCCGAAGCTGCCCACTCCCAGCCCGGGGAACTGCGGGCCTCCGTCCAGGAGCATCGTCATGGGTGGGGCGTTCTGGGCACAGGCGATCCGGCGGCAATGAGCGAGGGTGCGGGCGGAGATCCCCGAGGTGCCGTAGTCGGAGAGGAGTGGCGGCGGTTGGACACTGCCGGGAGATCCGCAAGGCAGTATCAGGGGCTGCAACTTTCCGTCGCTGCGAGAGTCTCCTGCAGAGGGGTAGGAGGGAGGAGGGGAAGTACAAGGAGCTGGTGGGGGGAGGAGTGGGGAAGAGGAGGAGGGGGGAAAGGGAGGAGAAAGACTCTGGGACTAGATCTGGTTTAACAAACTAACAGGCACGCACAAAGAAAAATAAGCAAAATAACAAGTGGAGGGTGGAGTTTGCCAATCCTGTCCGGGTCACCCCTCCTCTCCCCAAGAGCACTGAACAGCGGGGCCAGGAGGCTCCCTCGACAAGGGACTGCGGGCTGGGCTGCGCTAAGTAGCAGAGCCGGCTCGCAGCCCGCAGGCGGGCAGGAGGCAAGCTCGGTCCGCGCCGCTCGCCGCGCGAGTCCCACCCTCTTCGCCTCCTGAGTAATGTCCTTGGACTGATAAAGTCAATCACTCACTCCTCTCACATAAGCCGAGCGGGAGGCCGCGCGGCGCGCGCCAATGGGGAGCCAGCTGGCCCGCGGTCACCTGACCCCCGGCCCTGCATCCCATTGGTTGCTGCCACACTGATTGACAGTGCGGTGCGGGGAACATGGCAGCCGCAGCCGAGCGACTGCCGCTGATTGGGCCGTGACCCGGAGCTTGGCAGGTGAGGCGAAGGCGGCCGGGCCCCCGCGAGTGGGCTCCGCTGGGCTTGCGCTGCTGTAGGGAACTAGAGCCAGGCTCCAGCCAGCGATCTGGCAGAGACGGGCGTCTCCTCAGTTTCCCCCCGTCTGGAAGCGGGCAAGCACCGCTCGCGCGCGCTGTTCCCGCTTTGACCAAAGGAACTCTTTGCCCCGTGGGCGCGGTGCCTCACCACCCCGAGAGTGTGCTTTCTCCGCGGGCGCAGGGTGCTGATCCCGCGGCGAGCGCAGCAGTTCCACGGTCACAGCCCGCTAACCTCGTCCTCCCCGCACTCAACCGTAGGCCCTGATGGCCCCGAGGCTCCGGACCCAGGCCGGCCAGCTCATCGTCTGTGCCCTGAGCTGCTGCCGGCCGTCTGAGGCCCAAACAAGGAGAAACAATTACAATTAGAGCCTATCTCCCTTCTGTCTGAGCCAAGTGTTGACTCTTGTTTGTGAGTAGTGGCTATACTTGCTGCTGCCCCCACTGCCACCACGATGCACCAGACAAAACACATATAAGGCAGTAAAAACAAGTACGCAACAGGAAACACGCACACACCACACTAAACATGCACACAACTAAACACAACAGTAAGCACACAAGAAACTACACACAAAACAGTCAACAGGCACACACAGTACATACACGCACATGACACAGCAAACATACAAGCACACATACTAAATATGCAGATTACACTTAGCCAGTGTACACAAAACATGCATACAACAAACTAAACACACTATATAGCAAACTCACTAGACACGGGATCCGTACAGTTTTCAAACCACAGGGCTAATGAGTTTCGAATTCTTAACATTTTCAAACGCGAAAGTGGGAGGCAAGACTGAAAACTGACTGTGAGGTGGAATTTTCCTCCCTCTGAACAGCCAAGGCTTTGCTCCCTTCTCTTTCTAGGTAAAAGCATGTAGTGACCTCGGGGACTTCTTACCCTTTAAGGGTTTACTTTCCAGGGTTGTGTGTAGCATTACTCCCGCCTCTTGTCTGGTGAAAGGTCTTTCTGGACATAATGATCAGGTTTATACAGGGCTATAAATCCACTCATTTTTTTTTATCTGGCAGGGCATCTGCAAAGAATTCAGGAGAGTGAGAGTGGACAGAAAAGGCCTAGAGAAAGATGGCTGTGATTGTCACATCCCTAACAGAGCCAAGCCCCAAAGTCTGCGCCTTGAGGCAGCCTCACAGCCTGGCCGCCATCTCTCTGTAGGAAACAACATCTGATCAAGTTCAGAGGCGCTTGGAGAGACCGCCTCAGGCAGTGCTTTATAACTGCAGCCTTTCACTTCCTGCCCCCCAATCCGCCTGGCCAGGCCAAGACTTCACCTTCTTTCTTTACCAGTTTGCTGGGGGGAGACCCTGCCGGTAGCACACTTACCGTAGTCACCCCCCTGCCATCAAACTCGCCCCAATTCTCCCTCTACATCCAGAGCTCTCTCCAGGTTGGAAGGTGAGTTCGCTGCTAACTTAAATTATTACATTTACTGAGAACAGGCTCTCCAAGAATGGTTTCAGTGTCGCTCAGCAGAGGGTTACTTTGGGTGGGGGGAGGGAAGGGTATTCAGAGAACAAATACGCCTAAATTATGCAAATGAATTCCCTGGAGTCAGGTTTACAAAAAGGGAGGATTGCTTTTCTTTCTTTTCTCCTTTCCTTTCACTTTCCCCTTTACATTCTTCCTTCCCTTTACCTCTCTTCACCTCCACCAACCCCCACGGACCGGGGGTGGGTAGTTGGTTTTAAAAAGTTTGGATTTCCTCCGGCTCCTGTCGAGAGGAGAGGAATTCTGGAGGATCGGGGACGGGGAGGGAGTGTCTGTCGAACCCGAGGCGGGCCAGCGCTGAAGCAAGGGTTTCCAGGGAGCCCCGCCAGGTACCCCGAGAACCAGGGGCCTTGTGCGTTCGGAAGTCACGGCAGGCAGCCGGGCGAGGGGCTGAGGAGAAAGGGCGAACGAGGGAGTCCAACCTGCCTCTTTGGGGGGGGAGGGGTCTCGAGCGCAGGACAGGAGGATGTCGCCGCCGCTGACCTACCCGGTGCCCAGTGTCCGTTTTGATATGACCACATTCCGATAATTAATTACCTCCAGCACGTGCTCTGTAGTCACTGGAACAAAAAGGCATAATTCAATTAGATCATCAACCGAGAAGTGGGGAGGGGAGATGCTTGTTAAGGGGCCGACCTGAGGCGGTTCAGCCAGGCCAAAACCCCGGGCGGTGGAGCCCTTCCTGAGGCAGCCTGGCCCAGCCAGAGGGTGCGACTCCGAAGGGGTGCGGGTGGAGCGCAGGAACCCCAAATGCCCCCAAAAGGACAAGGCTGGGGGATTTGTGAAAAGCAAGGCAGAGGCAGGCCATTTTGAACTCTATTTCGGTTGGTTGGAGTACAGGTTTCTTTTGGGGGGAGTGGGTACCCTAACCCTTGAAACAACGTAGAAAGTGAAATATCTCCAGATATAGCAAGTGACCGCATTTGAAAACAAAGTCCCCCAAGCAAACTACTCCTGTTAGGCAATAATAATAATTGAAGTTTCCCTGATTACCTGTAGCCCCCACCCCTCAACTCGCTTCGTAGGAGATCCTAGGATCAACTGGGGGAAACGGGGATTTGGGGAGCTGGGTCTGAGAGCAGAGTGGTGGTTGAAAAAGGAAAGCGCAGAAAAGTTTTTCATTGACACGGGCTGGAGCAAGGCAGAAGAGAGCCCTCGTTTCTTCATTTCTCAGGTGGAGAAAGGACTCATTGGGCTGGGCTGGGCTGGGCTGGGCTGGGCAGCGCAGGGCAGCTCAAACCCAGAGGTCGTAGTTCTTATTTTACGCTATAACGGAGACTCCCTCAGCAGCTTTGGCTTACTGGGGTTTACATGTGTATTAGGCGGCGTAAATTAACCAATAAATCTCTTTTATGCAGCTCCCAGTTGTATGTGGTCTGGTCTAAATATCCACATGTCTGTATGGATAGGAAATATAATGGGATCCTTTCCCTCACACTGAGTTCAAACAGTAAATAGGAAAAAGATTTATTTTCATGCCCAAATCTAAAGCAATAAATAAAATCAGAGAAACTAAACATTGCCAAATGAGCAAAGCTTTTGACCCTGAATTTTGAGGTCTACGTTGGAGAAGCAGGAGGGAAACAGAATGTCCAGAGGGCCAGGAGGAACGGCTTCTCAGTACAACCCAGAGCCCCACTCTGCAGCACTTTTCACTCCAGCCTCCTAAAAAACAAAACACGTACAGCATGTTGTGCTATCAGGCAGGATTTCTTTCTAAACACATTTTCTGTGGCGGACATGAAATTATCCTAAGTCGGAGTCCTAGCAATTTTCTTTCAAGTCCAGGGGAAACACTGGGGTCTTTTCTTCTGTTTTGTATTTAGACAAGACTTGCAATCTAACACTCGCAACATTTTAAAGACCCTTTAAACCCAGCAAGCGGATTTCCGTTCTGCCAATGCTTCCTGATTTATTTCAATAAATGAATCTTTGAATCCAGGAAGGGAATTATTCCGAATTTGGTGCCCCTGTCTCTTCCTAGTGGAGCACAAAGTGTTTCTCGTTGAAACCTGCCCTTGAAACTCATCATTATTGGCATTTTTTCCTGGTAAATGACACTTTCTTTACATAATTCCCCACCCTCTCTTCAGAGTCCCGGATCTTTTCTTAAAGGAAAAACTGCAAATCGTAATAAAAATGAAGGGGGAAGACAGCTGGGAAAGGAATGCGTTTTTAACTCCTCTTTATTTTTATGCTAAGATAAAGCTCTTAATTGGTTTCAGGGGCTGAGCTGAACTATCGATCTCCAGAGCTCCGGAACCTTCGAACACGCTTGCCAACCGTTCATTTGGGCTCTAGTTTTTATTAGCTACATCAGAGTTTTCTCAGTACGGTCCCGTCGTTTGACAAATATTTTATAAGCCCTAAATACCTTTAAAATTCAACATAGAATAAACAACTAGTAGTGTTAATCAACCCTTTTTAAAAATCTGTTTTGCCTTTGTCCTCTGTAGTCCAAGGCATATCTCTGCTCAATCTAATGAAATGCAAACCAGACAGGAATGAGACATTTTCATTGTACTTGTCAATCAAGGCTGTGTAGGCAGATGCGTGTGTGTGTGTGTGTGTGTGTGTGTGTGTGTGTGTGTGTGTATTTGAACTTCAGAGACACAGGCTGGAGTAAATAGGGTTGAACCTGGAAAAGGAAGGCAGGGAGTTGAACTAGAGCTACCAGAATCCAGTTTGGAATTATGAAGAGAGCCGTGGAAATACAGGAAATGGAGTAAAACCTTCGGTGGTGAGCAGTGCTGGGGTCACCACCCAAATCTGGGTGTAAGGCTCATGGTAAGCCATGGTCCTGGCCTGCCAGACCCTGCTGCCAGTGAGTACCTTTACTGCTCTGGGGGTGCCTAGCTGTTAGCCTCCAGGCTCAAGGTACACTGGCAGTGGCTCTGGGTGCCAGAAGGACAAGTCACATTGGGAGAGGACTTCTCTTTCCTTTATGATCAGAACTCTTGTAGGTGGGGGGTGCCCAGGCAAGGGGAGAGGGAAACCCAGGCAGAAGCAGATCAGAAATGATGCATTTCATTTGTGTTCACAAGTCCTTCCTGTGGGACCTGAAGAGATGGAATAAGGAGAATGGATTTGGGGTATGAAGCTTGCCTAACATTCTGGAGCACAGGTTTGGTTTACCCAGGACCCCAAGTTCCTTCTAGCTGCTAAATGCTCCATTAGTTCTAAAATGT